TGACAGACTAACTGCTGACCCTTTTCATATGACTACATAAAACGCATTTTCTTTTTCTTACAATGAATAAGTGATAGTGACAATAAAATTAGGAACAAAAACCCTGACAGCGTGAAAACAATTTGAAAACATTTTGAAAACATTCTGTGGGTAATTAGGCCGAGTCTATGAGGAGAGCACACGTAGCGACTTCATCCGTGCACTGCGGGACAGGGAAATAGGTTTACTTTCATAAATCTAAATTGAATTTGATTTAAAAAAGCTTTTATGGCTTAATTTTTATATTTATTTTGATTTTGTTCATCTGAATCACAACTGAAACAAAGTCATATTGGCTGAGATTTTGAGTTTTGGTTAATTGATATGAAGAAATATGAATGATGAAGAATTAAATAAAAAACATATTTTAACCAGTAATAAAAAAACTTATTAATTAAAACATTAAACATCATCATTTGTAGAAGAGACCACTTCTCTTGTCCAGCAGTACACACATTACACTAAGATTTTTCTCTTATCTTTTGCGTAGCGTAACGAGGCGAAAGTTCCCCGTCTAGATGCCATCGTTAAGCGCCCTCTGACGTTCCTAACCGGAGTTTTTCTCCTAACGAATTTCCTTGGACAGTTCTGTGTACACTTTTTTGCGCCGGTCGTGTAGTTTTTGGATTGTTTATTTAATGATGTTTGTTTGTTCTGTTAAAAACTCGTACCTTTAGTTACTCTCTTCTAATAAGAAATAGCAATAGCACCCTATTGCTATTATTACAGACGAATCATCTTCTATCTCTAGAGATTATTTAGTTCTTTTTTAGGTATCAGATTTATTTATTGATATTATTATTTTTGATTGAAAAAAAATTCAGTGTCATGAATTATTCCAGAATACACTGTTATGCCATACTTTGATAATCCTAAAATGATCTTTTGGAGTACCCATTCATTCGGTTATACCTACGCTGTTTTAACATAAATTTCTGTACCTTGTGATTATTGGCAACTAATAACTATTGTAAAGGTCAGTAGAGCATAAGCTTATTCATACAAATGTAAACTTTATTGTAGCCACTAAACACAAAGCTGCTAACTTGAGCATTAACCCAAATTTTCAGCATAAATGGTGCTGTACGCTTCAGTAGAACTTCAGAAATTTGCTGAATCTGATCACACATAGCCTGAAATCAGGTTTGGTAACGTTTGCTCCTACGTTACATATCTGTGTAAAGGACGAAGTACACTTATCAACCCGGAAACGGATCGTAGCCGTATCAACGAGGCGGTCAGTATTATTTGTATGAAACTCCGTACTGCAACGCACTCTTATCCGCACCGTAATGTAAACTCCTCGCGGTAGATAGCGCGCAATAGGTGATGACAGAGCGCGTAAGGCGATACGGTTTTGATCCCTTTCAGGGTTGATAAGTCTGCTATGACCCTAAATGGTACTACATATAGCCCTGTTTGTCTGTGTACTTTAGTTCCGACGAGGTAGTTAGTGCGATGAACGGAAAGTATTGACTGTACTTGTTAGGGCGCTGATCGCGGAGTTTTTATAAGTTTTAGCTCGTTAGTTTTGTTTGATACTATTTTTTTGTGCTATTATTTGTGTGTTTACTAAAAATGTAAATCATTATAAAATCGTCAATGATTTAATCCTTAGGCAATTCGATTTTTTAAGTTATTTAGGATTTAGAACGACAAAAGAAGATGCGACTCTTAACGCTTATGAGTGAATTTTAAAAAAAATAGGCTAAATATTATGTAATAAAGAAATAAAATAAATAAATAATGACTCCGTTAATGATGGACACGCTCTATTGCACAATAAATATTAAGTACGAGTAGATGCCATTAAAATAAAACAATAGCGTATTTTGTGGGTGTCTTATCAACCTAGGTGATATCCCTCAGGCTGCTGAAAGATAAAAAAGATAGAAGTGCATTTTATCTTGTTTCCAAAACATATTTATTTTAAACAAAAGAACTATACAATCAATTCTAAATCTTTTACCATATAGAATTCCCAATCCCCTTATACGGAACTCGCAGCCTTCCCACGGGCACCGATTAGGGCTCAAGCGGGAACGCGGCACTTTTCAAAACACTAACGACCTGGATTTGGGGCCGGTTCTCCAGTGGTGTCGACACGGTGCAAGAGGCTTTAAGTTTAGCATTACTCTAGCAGTCTAATGCCCGTTTTCACCAACAATCCCTAATTTTTAAGTGACCCCTATAGTAACACCAGGAATTTTGTTTTCATAGGGGTTACCTAAAAATTAGAGATTGATGGTGAAAACAGGCATAATTTTAGCGCTTAACTCAGTGCCTGAGACATGGGAGCGGCACGGGAGGAGTGATTTTGACATAAGTATTATGACGTGGCAAATATGAAGTCTCGTTGACATTTGACGTAACAAAAAACACCCTTCCGTGCTACTCCCATATCTCAGGCACTGAAATAAATTGATCTGCTCGGTACTTGCCCCTTTTCTAACTTTTTTTTGCCTAATAATTGTGAAGCTCATACAATTTTTAGTGATTTGCCGCCTTTTTAAACATCCTAACACAGTAGGCAAAAAAAGAAAGGAGGCAGTAACTGAACGAAAGAAAATATTTTTCAAGATTTTCGTTTTCACGTGACATTATAACTTAATTTGGTGGTTCGATAAGCGCATTTTTTTAAAATAAATCAATTCAAATTATTTTCCTCAAATATTATTGTGTCGGCAGCATTGGAAAACTGCACGTGTCGTGAGTTCACCCCTACGTCAGCGCAATCGCGCGGGCATCGAACCTTGGACCGGGGATACGACGTGCAATACTTACAACTTTATGCTTATTTTGAACTTTCGATCCTTTTAAACTTTACAGTAACATTTGCGTACGAGATAAAATGGTAAATGAAAACAGACATCGCTAGTGTTCCCTGAATGTTTAATTTTCTCAATATCGAAATGTAATATGGTGTGAAGTTCGTTCTTCTTATTTTCATGTAAGGCGTAAGTTATGGTTTTGGTGAGTCAATCACAACTGTATAAAATATGGACTGTGTTCCTTGATTTGTCGTCCGTACTGCTACGGACTTTCGTAGATTTCATTAGATTTTCATTAACGGTCTTGTTTTAACAGTATAGACAGGTGTTAAGTTTGCCTTTTTTACTTTTTTTGTGTGCAATAATAAAAAAAAAACAGAAAATCTTAATCACGTTCAAGTGGGACTTTAAAGCTTGTCTCTTGACGCTACTTAATGTAAAGGTATTCGTAGAGTAACGAACAACACCTAAACTCCAAACTTCAATGGTTAAATTTTGTTCAAAAAGAGCATTTTTATTGATTTGTCGCAGCCGAAAGGTGAAATACCAAACCCACAAACTACAAGGGACAACGTAAATGGCACCATGACAAAGAAAAACGCACCAGTTCGATTAAATCATCGGCCGTGTGGGGCCAAAGTGCATTCTCATCGGCTCTGTCGATAATATCCATTAGTGAGGCCAGGGTTGGCACTTACCGAAACTATATGTATAAAGACCAATAGTAAAAGGCTGAAAAGTTTGTTGCAGCTTATTTATTTGGTAGAACGCGCCAATTTCAGAAACTACTGGTCTGATTTTTTTGGTGTTGGACAGTCCAATTATCGAGGAAAGCTAAGTATACGCTATAAAAATATCACGCTACGATCAATAGGAGCAGAGCATGTATGAAAAATGTTGCGAAAACGGGAAAAAATATTGAAACAATTTTCATGGGTACGCTGAACTATTGTTGTGAACCACAAGTACCTAATACAAGTGATTTTTAGCAATTATTGTATTGTAATTTATTATTAATATTACAAACATTAATAATATTATCGCCAATGTGATTTTGTTACTTGAAATTTAGTTCTATGGTTATGAGACTATGGCATTTCGAAACAGCTTATATTATTTGGCTTTCAGAAGCAAAAAAAAATGTTTGCTATCTCTGACAACCCTACTACTCCCCTGAACGCTCCATCCGGGCAGCTCAGCATACCTTAATAGTTAACATACTGTATACATAATACTGTGTACATACAACAGCACATCAGACTACACAATTTTCTATTGCAATATAACACTTATTACAACCACATAGATGCCACAGCATCGTTCATCATTAATATAAAGAGATGCCAACTAATGCACTGAGTTCGAAACTCAGTGTCGCATTAGAAATTCACACACACAAAGTAATCAAAATATGTGCTCATTATCCACTGCGGTATCAGTACTCAACGTTCGAATAATATTTAGTACTACGCAAGCAATGTAAACTGTTTACATTATGACGTCGCTGCTGTCATTATTGCTGTCACGAGCAATGTGTTCCGTTTTTGGGCATATTGCTGCGACACCGGCCCCGCCCCCTTATCACATCTCTCTTTAGTTTCTGTGGTCTGTGTGCCACAGCCATTATCGTTCGTACCCGCATTCATATTGAGAGCTGATTGGCAATTACTACTAGTTATACGGTTATCTGCCATGGGCTGTATGATATGTGTAACAAATCATTTTTATAGGGCTTAAGAGTACCTATACGTTTAGATTCGTGCAATAAATTTTAAACCTTTATGGTAACGTTTAAAAATTTCTAGTAAAGTGAAGAAAATAATTTTATAGTACTTTCACTGTTAATGGTTCCATTTCATCTGTCTATCTGTCATCTGTGGGCACGGTAGTGCCCCGCCAAGACGAGCCAAGCGAAGCGCAAGGGCCTACACCATTATCTTCTATGATCTGAGTATAGGTACAACCTACCACTTATTTGGACTAAGGTGTGGAGTTTGTGAAATTAGGCCTTGTAGAGTTAGGGGGGCGTGTAGAGTCTTACTCTAAGCTTGGCCCAACTTTTTGACAGTGCGATTCATTTGGTCTGGGATTGTTAACATTTTACATATAAATGTTTTTGGTGGGATCTGTTTTCCACTGTGCCAGAAAGAGGATTATGTTTTTCAAATTTATTTCTTTTGTTACCAGGGCAAGGCCAACCGGGAAAGGTCCCTCGAAGATCTTCGGCAGCACATCCACAGATACTACGTGCCGCTCGGTCGACAGTTCATGGTTCTGTTCCCGGAGGGAGGCTTTTTGCACAAACGGAGAGAAATCAGCCAAAGGTGAACTTCTGATAAATAAATAGATATATTTATTTTGTCGTTGGTAATCAGTATTATTTCAATATTTTACATTAAATGCATCTGATATTCTTCTGCATATTTTTTGTTTGTGGGTCCTGTGCTAATTCTTCTGGACTAACAGCCTGAACTGGTCTATGAGTTGTAATGGTGGAAACGAGTCTTGCAAATAGTATCGTATCGATTCGATCAAAAGTTTTATTTCAAAAATCACAACGAAGAACTCACCTGATGAAAAATGATGATCAAGCTGAAGATGGAAGAGAGCTTCACTCGGAATCCTCAACCTCAAATTTTTATTAAAAACTATGTTAAAATGATCACAGGTTTGCTGAAAAGAACAATTTACCAAAGCTGGAGTACGTGTCGCTGCCACGAGCTGGTGCCATGAAGGTCATCATGGAGGAGATTGGCCCCAACAAGAATAACATTGCTAGCACCTCTAAGGATAATTCTAAGAAAGGTGAGGTTAACATTTAATCATAATAATATTATGATAACAGTAAAGACTTCCAAATGATTAAAAATAACAATAACATAAAATTGGAGTACGTAAGTCACCAGATTCCAAACGATTAGTAGTTCGAGAAAATAGAAAAATATTTCCAATCAGATTTGAAATTGATGTTATTTCAAGAAACTGTTAGCTACAACTTGCGCCCTTTTACATGTGGAAATCTACATCTCTATTTTTTTCTGATTGTCAGGTTTCGTTTCGTGTGTACTAAAGGATTATTTAGAAATTGTCTTCATCATCTGATTAGTTTTACAGTTTTTATGCTATTATCTTGACATTTACAGACGGAAACTTCAACCAAAGTATCTCGCCCAAGATCATCGACAACAAGATAGGGGACAGCATCGAGTGGATCCTGGACCTGACCATCGCCTACCCTGACAGGGTGCCGCTGCATCTGCAGGACGTGGTCTGCGCCATCAGGCCGCCCTGCACCACGCATTTACACTATAGGTTATATCCTAGCAGCGAGGTTAGTGATATAATTTTCAATAACATCATTCAAAAAGTAATTTCTAGCAAAGAGACTCCATGATTCGTAAGATTCTTTCTTGGTATTTTTTTTTTCGAATCCTTTGGATCCTGTTTTGAAGATTTCGAAATTGACTGTGATCCTTGACTTGGTACATTAAGGCCCAGAACACACGGTGAAACGCAACTACAACGAAACTGCAACTTCTAGTTACTTTTGAGTTGCATATAAGTTTCTGCCATAGCGTCCGTTGAGAGACCACACATGACGCGACCAGTTTGAAACCGGTTTGAACCCGTTTGCAGTTTCGTTGCAGTTGCGTGTTTTACCGTGTTCTGAGCCTAAGAGATGCGCCGAAGAAATTAAAATGTGTCCTTTCATTATAACTAGACTTTAGTATTATCTTCTTTCATTAAAATTTGTAATTTTGTATCTTATTATTGCCAACTATGTAAAATACTACATGTTCTAGCCTGCACTCTAAAAACAAGAACGTCATAACAATTCAAAACTGTTTTGTGATCGTCACTAAAGTGGATCTTTTTTAACAGGTACCTACAGATACTGAGGGCATGACCAACTGGCTCTACGACAGGTTTATAGAAAAAGACAAGATGTTAGAAGAGTTTTACCGCACGGGCAGTTTCCCCTCAGGTTCTAATACCAACGTCTGCAGAACTGTCAGACAGGACAACCTTAGGTACCTGATTCTCCACCTCTTCTTCATAGCATCTACCTTCATCCAGTACAAGATGTTCTGTGGGTTACTTGAGCTTGTCTGGTAACAAATTTGAAGTTGGTTAGTCGTGAAACAATTTTGTATCTTTTGATAAATCTCTAGCTACCGTTTTGTGTTTAATAGTCTTAGTTACGATGATATCATTTCTAGATTTTATAATAATATGCATTTCTTAATTTATACGTTCTGGACCAGTTTTAGTCGTATTTTCTTCATTAGTGTCATTGTTAGTGTATGATAGTCGTAGAGAATTGCTAAATGGAACAACAAAAACTCTTTCTACCTCAATTAAACTTACAAGCCCTCTTTCCTGAAGTGTAGAACCTGTATTGTTAATGTATCATTAGCACCAGTGATAATAATTTAGTAAGTTATATTCGATCATAGACAATTCTTCTCAAATTATAATTTCACGACTAACCAACAATAGTTTTCATTGAAGACGGAGTTAGCAGCAATGGTTCTAATGCTTTACATCCATTGATTGTTTTGCTTCCTACCTTTTTTTAAATACTTTGTTTTTTTTTTTTTCAATTTACATCAATAACTTTGCATGTCTTTAACATAGTAACGCATTTAGTCTATGATACACTTGGCTAAGCAACGTTTACTTTATTAACTTGGTATGCTTAAGTCACTATAGTAGGATTTGGAGTCCTGCTGACTTTGCCATAGCAAAAACAATCAATGGTGAAAGCAAATTTTGCACTCATTCTAAGGTGCGTGGCGAAGTACATTTTTTAATTTTAGTTTCTTTTCCTAGGCTTAGTTTTTTGTTACGTTACCTCGTTGACATATCGCGACGGCTTAGTTGGTGCCGGTTTTGGCGCGGTGTTTAGGTTAGTGTAAGTTCACTTTCTAATTGTGAGTGCCGTGAAGCGATACACGATCAGTTTTATATTGTTCTACGGAATTTGTTACATCTGTTTCCTGATCGCTTTGAATTTTAGCCTTATTCTAAACGGGGTTGACATCAAAGTTGAATGCAGAACGTTTCTTTATAACTGCTTTGCTTTGGAAACCACCCAAGATTTTTGAACACGAGTCTATATACCCTTTATTATTACTTTTCACATCTGTAGTACTTAATAATACACCTGATACTTTAACTTTGAACTCGATTTATGTAATGTCCTTCAGCTGATCGTGTGTACTGTGCTTTTCGGTGTAGGTATGTGTTAATCAAAGCGTGCTGTGACATACAAGTCAATATATAAGTAATTCTAACATAGGTATTGTGCTTGCGTCGAACCAAATTTTGATCCCTTGTGACAATAAAAAATGTTACCCTCCTATGCAGTCGGATAGGAAATAGTCGAGCCCTTTTTATCTTTCACCTTCACTTCCAAATTCTATTTAATCAGATTCGCTTCGAAGTTTGGATTCTTATAATGGAATTCTTTTTGGAATTGCGCGTCAATTCTTGATTGGAATTCTGAATAGTTAGGTACTCTCCAGTTACGGTGCTTATGGAATTATCAATTTTCAAATGACGTGTGTAAGTAAAGTCTTATGTAAGTAGAATTAGGTGCTATTTTCCAACAAAAGTGTAAAGTTTTATGAGATTTCCTTTACAAGAGACTATCATTACCAGCATTTAAGTTTATGACTGATAAAGATCCTCCTCCTTTTTTGAAGTCGGTTAACAAAACTACCTATTATTTTAAATCTGCATCTTCGGTGAATGATTCTAAGTGAAATATTACATATACAGGTACATTTTCTTTACTGCACACGTTTAATTATTTTTCAAAGCAGATTGTCTTTTTTTATGATCTTCGAGTCGGGGCCATACATGTGAACTTTAAACTAGAGGTATAATTTACAGAAAAATCACCGTAGCTGGATAGAAAAATAAGGTTTCACCAAACCTCTATCAATGTCTAAATTAGAATTAAGTCACTGTAATACTAAGAATTAAAAATAAGAAGTGCGTTTTTTTATCGTTCCTTTACATGAATATTGTAATGTACAGTTATTCAGATGTGTATAAATGGTGTAGTTTTGTGGTGGAACATAAATACAAGATAATGCCAAACATATTTGCCGCAAGTGCCTAGGCTTATTGGTTCGTTAAAGGCTTACCTTTAATTTGAGAATTAGCAAATAACTAGGGATCGATTCTAATGTCATAGATAATGATTGCTTTTGTAATAAAACTAAATTGTTGCAAAATTTTCATTCAACATCCAATTAGATTTTTACTTCTTCTTCTTCTTATCGTGTCGAAAACAAACCTACACAGTGTCAGCCCAGAACTCCGCTACAAGAGTGGCGTTGTCAGCAGCATTCATTAAATCCTCCTGCGTGCCGTAGCTCGCACATTTGTACTGTTTTAAAATCTAGAAGAATATTAGGTATCTATTTTGTCAATGAAAAAAAATCCAAAAAAGCGTGACGTTAATGAAATAGTTTTCCTGCAGAAAAAATATTTGTCTTACTATACAAACCTATGTGTTTCATGTGGATACGATATTTTATTTCAAAAACTATTATCAAAATTTTTGTTAATTATTGCTACTTAGTGAAATTTATGGTTTTCAAATTATATCTATCGCCTGAGAATCGATCCCCAGAAACGAGTGAAAATACAAAACGGTTGGATGTTGTGAGAGTTTACTCATAAATGTTTGTAAAAAGTGAACGCTTTCAAAGTGTGTAAAATTTATATTACATAATATAATAATAAACAAATTGTAATAATAATAAGCTATACCTAAGGAACCGTACTATGTATTCGTGGAGTTTGATGCGGAGCCTGATGCCTGTTTCAGCTCTTACTGATAAAGTCACTGATAGCTTACGAGGAACTTATCTGTCAGATAAAATACTAAGTCTTGGACACAGAATATCTGGCAGATAAAGTCACTGGGAATCTTCAACCTTCATTCGTTAGATAGCATTGTATTTCATATCTTTATTAGGAATAAGCTGAAAACTTGAGTTCCGCAACAAACTCCGCGTATGCATGTAAGAAGTAGTAAAATTTTCGATCACATTCTGGCGTATTATAAGGAAATATATTATTTAAATTGTAAATCAATAGGAGTAAAATATTTTTAAACATGGGTTCGTTTTAGAAATTCCGTAGAAACGTGATGAATTTATCACATCCGACCAAGTTCCTTTTTTGTCCAAAACTTGTGCCTTTTTCAATGAAAGTAGCTTTTTAACCGTTTTCGTGCATCCCAATTAGAGGAATAATTTAAAACAGTTCTTAGATTTTTCTGTAAATAACATTTTACCTATAAAACACTCTGTACTCACATAATCTTTGATACTTTTATCATAAAATGAACACAGAATATTTAGCGTGTATATTTTAGCACAGAACATCTATCACACACAGACTAAAAATTTTGTTTCCATTAAAAATCATTTCCATCAGTTGTAAAAAAATGAAATTTTATGTCAAAGCAGGGACTTAAAAATGTGTAACCAATACAAAATATTGATTAATGCATTAATTAAAATTAAAAATAATTGTAAGTACCTAATTGAATGAATTTGAGTGAGAATTATTGAACATTTGATGTCATTATCATATTAAGTGTATAGTGATGTAATGTCACGATTAAATTAACGATTTTTTTTCTATACATCATTGAGTTAGGTATGTACTAGAATGAGTGACTACTTTTAAGTTGTTATTTTCTTTTACTTTGAGTTAAGTTTGTCATTTTAAACCTAAGTTGTAGCAGACTTTTGTTATGCTTTCAGTGGTAGGTATGTACATTAACGAGCTGTGCGTTTTTTTATTTGCTTTTAGTTTTAATTGCTTAATGTCGATATTGTCAAATGGCATGAAATGTCAGTTTTTGACAACGGTATTACCATTTTGACAGCAAATGACGCTTTCGACTCAGATCTTAGACGTTTGATGTTCAAATACTTAAAAGATATAACTAGGACCATTTTAGACATATAAAAATAGTGACACCAGTGATTCGCGTGATTTTCACAATATCGCGATGTGTTTAAACATAAGTCAGTTTATATGACATAAGAAAAACAGGTAATAATTCTGTCAAATGTGTAAAAAAAAATCTTACGTCTATGGTCTTATAAAGCTATTGAAGTCAATGCGATGCTGTTGTACCCACTATGAGCTATATTAGTTTATATGTTGTTAAACACTGGATTTTGTATGTGATCCTTTAAACAGTGATTAAGGTTCGGTATCCTGAGTAAACGAGTGTGATAGGAAATGTAAATCATTGATACAGTCATAGCAAATAGTGGAAATTGCAATGCTAAATGTAAAAAATGAAAATTAATATAAATAGGAATTAGGTTAATATTAAAATACGAATTTATTAATACATAGCCATCTATAATATAATTTCATTACTTACAAAATTTCTGAAATACTCTAACACACTAATATTTCCATTTCCATTACTCAATAGCAATCCCATTTTTATTTTTGGTTTTTAAGGTAAATTCAAAATATTTACTAATAATTAGGTAAGTTTTTTTAAGTTATTCCATTTTTACGATGACTGTATCAGAATCATTAATTTGGAAATTGCCAATTATGTTACTGTCTCATATAAATTGATTGTGTTTACATTTTTGGCCATTTCTGATTGGATGAAACTTTAGTTAGAATGTTTTTGAAACAAAATTAAATGTTAATCATTAGCCAGATCGTGTCAATGTCGGTCTAATGAAAGTCCTAAATGTATTTTTAATGTTGCAACATCAATTAATTTCCCAACGTGTTTTCAATTATGTAGGTATTCAGCGAATCAGAAATCAGATATTTATGAAAATCGGCCCCGACTCAAATATCTGTATTTCCTTTGATATTCGGTGGAAATAATCGGATAATGTGTGTTTACCATTTTATACTTGAAGTATTTTGATCCGATTGATCCGAATTATATGCGTGTCTATCAAAACATTTTTTGTGTTAATTGATCTATTCACATCATGCGCGTGGATTTTGGTATAATTGGAGAAAAATCGTATAGATAGGTACTTAATTAAAATATCACACTTTCAGGATATAATTTGGTATATAAATAATCCGTTCTCATGATGTGTGTAGAGTTTTAGGTGTGAAATCAAACGGCATCAAGATTTGGCACTTACTTAGATACTTTATACTACTACTTTATAGTTAGGAGATCATTCTAGTCAGACTAGGCGTATTCCTACATTGTTTGCCTACATTTTCCAATAAACCATTGTATAAACGCATCTGAAACATTTTAAAAAGCTTTATTATTTCACTTCGATGCACCAATTTTTTGAAATAAAATTTTATGTAGGCATTAAACTTGCGTTTCAAAGGAGTGCGCCTTCTGTACTTGTGTCATGCTAATGTTACTCTGTGGCCAGTTTCGATGCCGTTTGGACCTGCATTCGCTTAGCTGTACATATTATACTTACGGACATGTCCACTGTTTGTCAATAAAGCACGTTTGTGGCACTTAATATGTGGGTAGTTTTATTTCTGCATAAAAAAAAACTTCATAACTGTGTACATTTTTAAATAATTTCTTCAATTTTAAAGTCTGTGTGGATTTGTACCTAACAGGGTCTTATTTTTCTTGACAGATTTTTTTTTAGCATAATAGATAATGAGCATTTCGACAGAAGAGAAGCAAACTTATGTACCAATATCAGCATAAATCGAAGTAAAATCTTATGGATCAAGTCATAAGTGTCATTTTGCAACAAAAACCAGTCTTGTAATGACTGTTCAATGGTACATAATGCCTACGTTTCGATGACAAAAATAAAAAAAAATGTTTTATCAATATATTTCATCGATATGTGAGTTAATAAAATACCAGTCCAAAAATACGAAGTCCGCAATATACGGCGGTTGTGCAATACAGACAGACGTGACAAAATATAAAGGATGTAGGGCCATACTTTATCGGCCGGTGGAAAGCACGTACGCGTGTTTGCCGACGTCCCCATCAGTCGTATATAGGAATTTCTGGCTATACAGCTGTGGTACAAAAGGGAGATCGGGCGGTGCATATCTGTATTTATTTGATCTGGGGGCGTAGTGTGAGTTTACGTCAAACGCATTCGATATCGACAGCGTAAAAAAGTGACATTAAAATGTATGACGAATTGTACAGCGCCCCTAGCGGAAACTTTCAGGAACTAAAATCTTCATTATTTTTAACGCAGTCGATATAGAATGTATTTGATGAAAACTCACACTACGCCCTTTGTTTATTGTTTTTGTGCGTTAATATTAATTTTGTATTTCCTTTTTTTACATGAAAAATTCTTCTGACTAATACACCAGCTGGCTGAGGTACGAAAATATTAGTAAACATTTCAATGTATTTTACCAATTTTACGGTGTGAGCTAGTTAGAGTTAATAGTTTCAAGTAAAAATGTGTAACCTTGAGATTAGCACAGATGATTCACAAGCTTATTTAGTCTTTAGCCTCTTAGGACTGAAAATAATGACTGAAAATCAGCATCAGATGGTTGAAGTCACTGCCTGTCTGTAAATGGAAAGAAAATCGGTTAATTAATCATCTGTTCTGTTAATCACCTGTTATTAAATAAGGCATTGGACTAATGTCGGGATAAACACTATTAAATACAGAACTGTTTTTAATCATTAAATCACTATTAAAAATTTAGTTAGGTCTCATCTCATTCTCTCGCCTCTGAAACGTGGTGGCATTTACAAGGATTTTTTATTTTCAAAAACGATAAACCGGTGACAATATTGCAATGATTAAAATAATATTGATGTATGGCAACACGACAAATTTTTAAAAGCCTCCAAAGCCCGTCTGTCTATCACGTCGTCACGTACAGATGTTTACCCACGTTTCCATCAGATCTATATAGAAATTTCTGAGGAAAGCTCCTGTGGGCTGAGGATAAAGCGTAGGCGGGATACTTTTGATATTCAAGACTTAATATTTTCCTAAAAAGTGATTTTATAAAAATTACCTAATTTGCTTCAAACACTTAATTTCTTGCGAGAGAGGTTAACGCCTCAAAAATCTTTGCTAGAAAGTTTTCTGTTTTCTGAGAGTTTGCTATGCTACTTTATGTAGGCGTCTCTATTTGAGCGATCTATTCTCATTCAGTCAGAAAAGTTTTACTTCAATAAACATCATTTATTACTAAGTATTGCTTTAACTTTTACTAACTTTTTTTCTATTTCAGTACGACAAGCGTTTGGAATGATAAATCCTTGAAAATCGTTCTAAATCTGTGACTGTTTTTATCTAGTAAACCAAAATCTTACAGAACTTTTGTCCACCATTATTAAAACGGTTTGACGAAAGACAGAAAAACGGTGCACGTTTTTTCAAAATAGTGTCTGTTACAAACACAAGAGATGCCACCTTGTTTAGTTTGGCAATGGCGTTTTACGAGCAAAGGATTTCTTCGGCTAAATTTTTTCTTGTTGTGAGGTCAAGTACCTATTTTGATTTCAGGCCTAAGACTTGTTTATCTGATTGAAAATGTGTGTGCAATCAAAAGACTGTTTGTCAACCCCATCACAAGGGTTTTGCCCTCTCCAGACTTACGCCAAAAACTGTTTTGACACGCGAAATCCACATTCCCCCATGTTTGAATAAGATGTCATGGAAATGCTGTGAATAAACTACAAGACGAGCGCAAATTGAAATAGAATTATTTGCTTTGTAAGAGGACTTTTTCTGAATATACTCGGATGTTTTATTTGAAGATATTTCGACATTATTGTAACTATATTTTTTGTGCTTACCTATTGGAAATTGGAGGCTGCTGTTCAAGATGAATTTGAGAATTACGGGTGAATCAGTTTTTGTCACGATTCACTATCAATAATGCAGGAAAAGAAAATGTGGTTTTCCCATGATTGGCAGATTTGCCAGACCGTAAGTTATTTAGCCAAAATGGCGTCTACTGCTGGACAAAGACCTTCCCCGAGGATTTCCACAAGGGCCGGTCTTGCGCTGCCTGTATTCATGCGCTTCCCGTGACCTTCACTAGATCGTCGATCCACCTAGTCTTAAAATTAGCATGTCCCACTTGCGCCGGAGGTAGATGGGCCTAATAGGTATCGAACAAGTTGAATAGATATCTTTCTTGGATCATTGTTTGTATAACGTCTTATATCCACGTATCTTTTCTCTTACATCTATGAAAACCACCTAAGCTTAATCGCAACAAGTGGTCCTGATAGCAATCTTCTCGAAAATGATTAATGAAAGAGCGAAGCGAACGCCAATATCGAAGTATCTATCATCGTTAGGTTTGTCGATGTAGGGCAAGTCACTAGTGTAATAAGAGTTCATACATAAATGTATGTATGTAGGTAACTAATTAGAAATTGAAGGTAGAGGTCAGGTGATGGCAAAAATGACAAGACTTCTACCCGACAGCACTTCCACCCCCATCACTTAGATGGTTGGCAGTCCACAACAGTACGTTTCTCTAGAAACTTCCTGCCCCGTACAACCAAACTGTGGAATGGACTGTCGTCTGCGGTGTTTCCGGACGGATACGACCTGCAAGCTTTCAAGAGGAGAGCATATCTTCACCTTAAAGGCCGGCAACGCACCTGTAACGCCCCTAGGTCTGCGGGTGTCTATGGGCGACGGTAATCACTTATCATCAGGTGATCCGTTTGCTCGTTTGCCTCTGTCACATAAAAAGAAAAAAAGACTTCCGCCTGTATTCACAAACATTACTATGAGGTCTCACAGTGCAGGGTGAAACACGACCAGTCAGAGCTCCATTCAACGCTGTGCTTTCGATTTTTTGATTCACTTAAGCAAGCATCGTTTGTGAATACGGGCGTTAGTAATTGTGAGTTTTGCATTGAACATGGGATTGCGTTTGATTCAGTTGGGAAGTTGTTAGTTTAGCAATAATTGCAGGACTTTTGCAGGACAATAACATTCATTCGTCAAGAAAATCCAATGAATTTCCAATTCATCACCAAGTACTTATTGAATGATGAAAATAAAGAAAGTGACGTCATAGACATGTATTGCCATTTAAAATATTAATATGACACGCATGTTGACAGCTCATAAAAATACATTAACAATTAATTGCTGGTGTCAATTTATTGTATCATAATAATAAATATCTACTTATTTTTAATCCCTACTTATCAAATAATTAACTCAAAAACCATGAAATAAGCTAAAACTATCGCGAGTGTTCCTCAAATGTTGAACTACCCACATTATGGGGTGTGAAGTATAGCGCCAGGATGGCATAATCACTTACGGCTCGGTACGTTATCTCACACCCAAACCACTTTGAACCCCCATCGCCTGGTTTAATGTTCTTAATTATTTGATTTTACTCTTATCGATCGAAATTAACATATTTTTTTAGTTTTGAGAAATTATTTTTATTCTAACATAATATCTTAAAACATTATTGTTTATTAAATAACGCAAACAACGTTATGTTATTAATAATTAATAAAAATGTAGCTAAAATAACGTTAAGCGTTATCCGTTATGGTTTTTTAATCTGCATAAATACTTTTGACATTAACATAAACACCATCACCCAAGAGAATAATTAAATCACCATGGTACCTAATTTATTAGAAATAATAAACATTAATTAGATTTAAAAAAACATTATTTTATCAGTTTGTCAGGTATCGAGCATTTACATAAAAATCAATATTGGCGGGTAGACCTAAATTTTATTTCTTTAAATTTTGTTCTGTCAATTTGTTTAGTTTTGTGCTGGTCAATGAGTGCACTCGGTTTGTGCTCACGGGGTTTTAAATTTGATAATTATTTCATCAAACAATTTAATTGTCGTGTGTGTTAAACATTTCTAGTGTTTCTAGTGTGTTTGTTACTTATAATTTTATCGTAATTATGGTGTCGTGTTAAATTTATTTCAACCATTTTTTTTTTTGTGAAAGTGCAGTGAATTTAGTGTGTTTTGGAGTGATGGAGAAGGTTATATGGAGCTACAGTTCGTCAAGTAAGGTAGGTTTTTATCTTTCAATCAACTAACACTAATTTTGCCATTGGAATAATATTGGCGGGTGCCAATTGAATTTTTTATTTATTTTTCGAGACAAAGTGAATAGATTTATTTTGAAAACTCCTACATAATACACCGCAGTGCAGGACAGGTCGTTATGGAAATCCTTGGGGGAGGCCTTAGTCCAGCAGTGGACGTCATTGGCTAAAACGAGAGACAAAAACACACGTAGGCTTTGAAATGCCTAGGTAAATTTTTGGGCGATTTAATTCTACGAATATTTTCCCAATTCCGTACATTCCGTTCCATCCAGACACGTTGCGTTTACGATGTAATACAATAAAGGCTAAATACGAAGGCGGAGGAAAGCTGAAAATCGCTCTCAACCTGTAAATAACGTTTTCGCGAGTGCCGTAAAATGGATAATAGACACGTGTCGCGTTTGAAGGGTTAGGAAAGTTCTAGAAGGAAAATTTTAAAATATTAAAAAAAA